TCTAAATAGGGATAAATGTGATATTTTTAAGGAGACATTTTAGTGTAAATCCAATCAGGCAAATAGAAATTCGCTTAGTCTGCAGGTTTGCTGCGGCGGGGGTATTTTTTATTATATGGGTTTTATGGGGAAATAACATAAGTTACAATAACTTTTGAATTTTACAAAAATGGGAGTTGTGCCATTTTGTTTAGAATTAAAAGGATTATAACATTCTAAAATTAAATCAAAATTGTTTTGGCCGTTTTTGAGAAAATTGGGACTTTTCATTATTTTATAGGGGTTTCTGGGAAAATCACCATAAAAAAAATTTAAATTAAAAAATACCTGAAGATACCATGGATTAGTACCTACACTACATACCTAATTACATCAAACTCGGACTACAGGTGTGGTATATAGCTCTGTACACATCCATACATAATGGACACACACACGGACAGATATCACTTCAAAAACCACTTTTTGGGTTCAGGGTGATCCAAAACAGATTTATACATTTTATATATTAAACAAACTCGAAAACACCCTAAAAAAAAAACTCAAACTTGAGGTAACTATACTTTCTACATACTATATTGGGAAAGAAAGTTAAATGTGATTAACAATGATTAAATTGCTATATTTTTAATCAAAATATTAGGGGGAAGCAATTGTTTTTTGAAGATATCCTGTGCATGTTTATTTTTTTATACATCCGATTATATCGTTTAGAAAGAACCAAAGTAAACTTTAAACTCTGGAGTCGAGTAATATTCTAGATTTTTTATCATTCAATAAACTGTATTTATCATAATTTTTTATACATTAAATATAGACTTACCCAACCATGAAGATAAAATTATAGCTTCCTTCTGTCCAATAAGAAATTATTGTCTAATTTAAAATGCATTTTTGGCATAATTTAGTAAGATAACTTTAAGTATTGATGACCCAAGGGTGCCCAGAGGGGTTGACAGCAGCGTACTCACATCACTGGGATTTTTGAGGGGATTTTTTCACAATTACCGTCATTGATAATTTATAAAGGTTTTTTTTAAATAACCCTAACAATCATTTTGTTAAATGAATGTCCCATTAACCCTTATAGAATTTTTTTATACATGATTAACATTGTTTGTCGCAACAACATGATGTCTTCGTGATCGCAAGAGAAGTTCTTAATTTTGTCACGATTGTGGGATACGATTATGATGTATCCCCGACCACAGGGGAATGAGAAGATTTTGTCCTGATTATGGAAGGCAACTATGGTGTCTCCGTGACCGCAGGAAAAAGTCGAGACATTGCCACGATCACGGGAGGTGATGATGATTTCTTTACGACCGGGAAGAATGTAAAGATACTGCCATGATCACAGACGTGATGGTGATGTCTTTGTGACTGGGGGTTCAGTGCCGGATTTAGGGTACAGTTCAGCCGTCTATCTGTGCGCGCGAGCCCTTCGCTACTATCCTTGCAGAAAACCTACGGTAGGGGCGACTGAGGGCATTGTTCGCTCATTTCCACCAACCCAATAGTAATTCACAACTAATTTTGCACTCGAACTTCATTCATATTCACCTTTAATATGCACTTTAGAAGGGCTTTGGTACCTCATAAAAATATTTTAATTTTACTAAAACTGTGCTGCCTTGTTATTCCATGTTTGTATAGCTAAAGGTCAAGTTAATAAGAATAACAAAAAAGTTTTTATAAATTATTTAATATGGTAAATATTACGGATTCACCATAACATGACCAATTTTAACACTGCTCTAGAATATATTTTCAAACATCATAGCGATTGGTGTGTTGTTAATAAACACAAACTTGTGCTGGGTTATTCCTTTTTTCAACATTTTAATAAGGTAATATCCTTATTGACATCGTTAAAACTAACAATTGAGAAAATATGTAATGTGAATAGTTTACCGTTTATTGTTGCTGTAAAAACCGCATAATATGTCCAATTGGAATGTAACAAAAACAGAAATGATTGCTATGTCACTGTTAATAATATAGGACCATGACCTCGTATTTCCTAAGTAAAATTTACATAATTCAAAATTGTACTAGGTCGTACACGGAAGCGTCACTAACAAAATTACACCTTCAGGCCAGTTTGGGCTGCCTCAACTTCCCGTTGCCGTTTTGGGGTAACCAATGTTTTTAGAAAAGAGCCCCCTCCCACCCTCCCGCCATGCAACCTGACCACCGGCCCGCGCGCACAGATAGACGGCTGAACTGTACTTGTGGCCCTAGGCCAAATTACTTGAGCGGCCCTCCCCCTGAGGTGAAAATTCCTTGCGATCGCGGAAGTAATAGTGACTATCTCCTATACATCAAGGGGACATCATCATCGACACCCGTGATCCTGGATGAAATCGTGGACATCTCTCCTAAACCAAGTCAAAGCCATCATATTTATCGTGAACATCTCCCGCGGGCCGCAATCACGGGGACATCATAATTGAAACTTGCGATCGCGGCAAAGTCGTGTTAAAAAACCTCTCCCGTTGACTGCGATCATGACGACTTCATCATTGTCACCCGCGGCCGTGCCGAAATCTTAAACATCCCGCTCGGTAAGCCACCACGGGAACATCCACATTGACACCCCCAGCCGCGGCGAAATTGTTAACATGACGCCATTGTATTATTCTTAATGAAATTACAAAATAAAGAATGAAAAAAAAAACATCTCCCGTGGGCCGCAATCACGGGGACATTATCATCGACACTTGTGACCGCGGCGAAATCGTGAACATCTCCCGCACACGGGCCGCAATCACGGGGACATCATCATTGACAACTCGATACAGCATTTAATTCGTGAACGTCTCCAGCGGGCTGCGATCATAAGGACACATTCCCGTCACCCGCGGCCGCGGCTAAATCATGAACGTCTCCCTCGGTCCGCGGAGACATCATTATGGTCACCTGTGATCGCGGCAAACTGATGGTTTAAAATAAATTATTTTTTATTAATTTTATCTAAAAAATGTTTTTCCCAATCCTCTGCGGCCCCCTTTTGCTTGCGGCCCTAGGCCGCGGCCTAATCGGCCTAGTGGTAAATCCGGCACTGGGGGTGGTCAAGTTATTGGCACGATCACGAGATGAGATGGTGATTTCTTTCCCGACCGCTGGGAAATATAGAGATTTTAAAAACCACAATCTAAAGAGCTGATGATGATGTCTTCACGACTACAGGTGAGTGTGTATGTCTTACGCAGTAGGCTACTTTTTTAAGTATTCTTAATATTTTATGAAACTGTAAATTTTGTAGTAGCCTAATAAAGTTGATTTTGATTTGATTTACCCTGATCATGTGAGGCGATGGTAATGTCTTTGGCCTTCGTGACCGCTGGGGAGTGTCAACATATTGCCACATCACAGAAGCGATAATGGTGTCTTTTCGTCTGCGGGAGAACATATAGATATTACTGTGATCACAGTTGACTATGATGATGTCTTTGAAGTCATGTGAATGAAAGATGCTCTTAATTTTGACTCGATCGCGGGATATGATCAAACTTTTGCCAAGATCTAGATTGTACCACGATCACGGATTATTGTCGAGACAACATCTGATGCTGGCAAAAATTTACCGTAGTTTTAGAGAAGAGATTCAGAGGAAATAGTTATATTTTCTTTGTCCACACAGCAGCTACCTGGTCCTGCGTTCCTCCGTTTTCGGCTGTTTCATAATTTCTGGTTTCTCTGAACAGACATTCAGACATTCTCTGATTCTCTTTAATAAGCATAAGCTAAGAAAAATCCTAAATGTGATTCAATACCTACCCTATGTTGATGTGGCAATGTTTTTTATCCAGTTATACTAATAAATAATTTGGTTGCAAATAGAAATTCATAAAAGCAAAGTACAACTCAGATCAACCTGGTGGTTTTGCTTCAAATTACGTGAAAGAAGATTGTCTATTGGATTTAAGAAGATTGTTAATTACGCCTATTGGGATTGTATCAATGTGTAAATTTTAATTTAAATTAATTTAAATTTTAAATTTTAAGTGAGTATTGAAAACCTGTTAGAGAACCATATTTTTAATTAATCTATATTGCGAGTGCTATAATGATAGAATTCATAAAATATTGTTTTCAAATTTTTTTCATTTACATGTATATCAGATAATTTATGATTACCAAGGACAGCTGTAATCTTGATTTCAAACTGTCGTAAGTCCACACTTTTGGGATTTTATTTCAAGGACCAAATATTGTTAAGTGTTACAATAGAAACTTTGATTAAACATACTCCCTAGACGCTTTACTTCTAGGTTCATGAGTGAATTGAAGCTTGGCTTAGAATCCACATAGTTAACTATTAATTATTTTTGTATGACAATTTAGAATAAAATTTTCAGTAAGTAAACAAAAATACATCTAAAAACTTTTCAAACATAAATTTACACTTATACTGTTAACTCACAAGACGGTAGATATACATAAAAGATGGTAAGTGGTAATCGATTACGATTGGACGTCATTCGCTTATTAGGTCTGATAGATGATGATTGTCCAATCTAAATTGATCTCCACTTACCATCTTTTATGTATATACCGTATTGGGAGTTAACAGTATTAGTGTAAATATGTCTTAAGTCTTACTATACAGATTTTTTATTTAATAACAAAAAAAATTGAATAACACATACAATGCTGATCAAGAAATTATTAAATAACATTTTAAAATGAGCAGAACACTTTTATAGTTGTAGGTTTGCCAATTTTAATCAGGTGTGACTAGAGGCTGGGACGAGTAAATCAAAAAGGAATGTGGTTGAGTTGGAGCCAAGTGATTCAAACAATGCGGCTCAAATTATTCTTTCAGAGTTCTTTTTTAAGAATTGTAGAACTATAAATTGTGATCATTGTAACACTGCAGTTCAATGCGCTCAACAAGCTTTTAGGTACTTTGAAGTTTATTAAAATAAGCTTCAAATATGTAATATTGAAAATGGTTGCTTCCAAAATAAGGCTTTCAGGCTATGTACGTTTAACTTTATTGAAATAAGATTCACACATGTAACATTATAAAAAAGGTTCTCTTTACAAAGTAGTATTCATTTTGCTTAATCCTACATAAAAACGAACACAATGAATACCCTTAACACTATACCTAATATCATCATTTCTTTTTTGAAAATTCAATGACACAGCACAAAAGAGAAACTTCTATTTTGGTTTTATGAACATTAATCTCTAGAGATAAATTAAACAGTTGATTGTAAACCACTAAACATTACCTACTTAACAGTGAATCGACACAAGCACAGTTGCATCACAAGTTTCTTGGTTGAAAACTTGTTCCACAAAATTAAAGATAATAAAACCATATGATGAAATCAAAGGTACCTACCGGTAACAATCTTACAATATGTTATTATTAGCCTATACCTAGACTGCATAGCTTTTTTGCCAGAGTAAGGCGCAAGATAACATGACTGCACCTTTTATTACTAACCATACTATGAAATCGAAGGTAACAATCTTACAAGATGCTATTATTAGCCTATATTATTTTTTTAGTGCATAACCTTTTTGCCAGAGTAAGGGGCAAGATAACATGACTGTACTTTTTAACTGGTCTGTTAATGTTAAAGTTGTAAGATAATAATGAAGAGACTGCTTGCGACTTAACAGAGCTTACACGAGGTTTCACCAGTTTTGTGCATTTATAGATTTACAAATCCTCCTTGATTATTTTGAAATTGTAGTTTACTCCAGCATAGAACTGACTGAAAGAAGCTGCGAATGTTTTAGGTAGACAGAACGTTTCTTTATCTTTAAACAAATGCTCTGGGTCAAACTTGTCAATGTGAATAGGTGTTTTGGCAGAAAAACTACGTTCAGGGGTATAAAAATTGACAGTTACCGAAAACTTCACTTTCGGTTTTTCCATTGGAACGTACTGATACAACTGGAGCACCCGATTTCTTCCACACTTTGTATGCTGCCAGATAATATTGTTGAATGCGACAATAGCTGCAAAACCTTTTCTTTCAATACTGGCATCAAAACCTATCATAATGCTGTTGTGGGAAGCTGTTCGTATAATATTCTTACCATGCGTATCCTCCAGATGACGAAGCAAATCTTTGGCCATGCACTTTGTACCACAAGATGGGAAGCGGCAAGAAACGTTACGGAAACGACAAAACATCTCGTGGTCCTGGTCACTAGCTAGGGCCATGTGTTCACAACCTTTGTTACTGTAGTTGCATTTTCTCGGGAGCAATTTGATTATGCTGTTGAGCATGACAGGTTTGCAGTTCGGAATGAAGGAGTCGCATAGCGGACACACTTTGTGGCATTTGTTCCTGCAGTTAGAGCAAATGCCATGGCCGCTGGCACAGCTCCTGGCAGACACCAATAGTTTGTGGCATGAGCAGCACTGGGCTGTTTGCTGGATCCCTTTCAATGCCTCCAGAAGCTCAGAGCTATCGTACAGATTCTGCAACAGATAGGTCAATTCATAAAATTGTATAGCTTTAAGACATTGTTGTGATAATCTCAGTGGTGTATTCTAGCTTTACAAGGTTAGTGCTCCAAATACAAAATTCAAAGTAGAATAATTTTCAAACAGTTTAGTTTACCTATTGGTTTGGGTTCTCATCAATTTGACTTCCAACCTTGTTGGTTAAACAACATCTCCTACCACCAGCTCAAGTAGCTCTTTACTTGATGACTCCACATCAACAAGAACTTGTCAACGTTTGTCACAGGAGAGTAACTTTATTGATATTTGCAATACTCAGGCTGCTACAACTCCTTTCATTATTGCTAAACCTCTACAACTTCTACTACTTTGCAGCTTAAACTAAACGCCATAGGCTATGCTAAAACAATTACTGTCTGCGCTTGGAGCGTGTTAGTGATGGTTGCTTAGTAATACTGTCGCTATAGTGTTCCAAAACATCGTGTTGTGTGACGTGTCTCGGCAGATTTAGTAAATCGGCTCAGTAGGCTCGGCCCAGAAGCGGAAGAAGTTTCAGTTTTTTTGGAGGAAGAGAAAAAATCTCTGCCAATGAAGGGAAGGGGGCGCACACATCTTTTGAGATCATGGCACGTGCTACATGCAAACCATGGTCCTGTGGCTCTTCGCAACAGCTATCAAATGTGTGAATTTTGTATGTTTCAGATCTCTGATTGGTTCACTTTGTAAACTTGTCTTAAGCTTATCGATAATTTCCCATAAAAATACCTAGGCTTGTAAAATTGGGGATTCCAGGTCATTGATGAGGACAGCTTTCACTTAGGCTATATTAATAAGTTTGTTTTCATATTCAATTTCCCAAGGTCTATTTGCTTACTGATCAGGCTTGTCTAATATAAATATATCTTCAAGTTATAATCTATTCAATACGATGAGCCAATGCTCCAACATACGCTCTTGGCTTATTACAGCCTGCTTCAACATTTATTTTTAGAGTGTAAAAAGTCATGTGAAATGCAGTCACATGTAAACCCGAATTAGTTTACAAAACAATTCTCACAGCTACAACAGGAGGTAGCTTATATTTTGTTTTGCTGGTCTAACTAAACTAAGTTATACATTTACAGAAGTACCTGTGTAAAATCTGCACAAATTACAACTCAACGTTCTGTACCCACGAGCACCTCAGCTTCCACATGCACAGAAGGCCGTGGAACAGTTCCTGGGATAACAGCTATTTGTGTAATAGCTTCACTGTATATCTTTATTGGACCTGTTTAGATAGCTGTTTCTTTCAGCAGTTGAAGTTGCGAACTCTGCATTGACTGCATTAAGATTTTGTAAAAGTAAAGGTGTTTATTATTTACTGTTTGTTTGCTTTTGACTTGAGCTGCTTGAAAATGTGTTATGATTATGAAAATTAAAATGTTGTGAGTGTGCTGAAGCTGATTTGTTATTAGGTATTGACAATTAAATGTTTTGCGTGCATGAATTATTTATGAAGTTTTAAATGTTCACTTAAACTGTATTTTTCGGAATCCTCAAGAAGAGAGGTTAGGTTACGTTGGGTTGGGTTTGTGTGTGAATTTGTTAGATTGCAGTTTTGGTGTTGGTAGTGGTGGGTCTAAGGTAAACTTGGGCCTACTCTTATAAATAGATAAGTTATTAATTTAACTTTTTCAAAGGCAATAAATTATAACTAAAATCAACTGAAAGGCCCAACTAACTTAATTAAAATTAACCTAGACCTACCACTACCAAAACTGCAATCTAACAAATTCACACACAACTCAACCTAACCTATTAATAATCACTCTTGAGGAATCCGAAAAATATAGGTTTGAGTGAACATTTAAAACTTCATAAATAATTCATGCATGCAATACATTTAATTGTCAATACCTAATAACAAATCAGCTTCAGCACACTCACAGCACTTAAGCAGCTCAAGTCAAAAGTAAACAAACAGTAAAGAATAAACACCTTTACCTTTACAAAATCATAATGCAGTCAATGCAGAGTTCGCAACTGCAACTGCTGAAAGAAACAGCTATCTAAACAGGTCCAATAAAGATATACAGTGAAGCTATTACACAAATAGCTGTTATCCCAGGAACTGTTCCAAGGCCTTCTGTGCATGTGGACGCTTAATGTGCTCGTGGGTACAGAACGTCGAGTCAAATTACACACTTACAGGTGGAGAGTTGGTCACAATTTTGGGAGGCCGGGGCTCTTTGTGTCGTCCAATCGTTGTAGATGGTGGCTGCACTGAAGATGAATTATGAACATTGGGAGGTGGTCTACATCCGGAACTCTTGGGTGGTTGACGTCCTCTTCCACCTCCTCGGGAAAAATGTGGTCTCGGAGGAACTTGCACCGGTACCTGGTTTAAAGTAAACTTAAGCATAACATTCGAGATGAAGGAGGTGTTAGATCTAAGCTAATAGGCTTCAGAGGAATGAAGTAGTAAGACAAACTAAATAACTACTAGTAAACACATTGCTCGAAATCGAGCAATTGCAAAGAACAGGAATTAAATTATAGGCCTAAATACAGCTGATCAAAATTTAAACAATTATGTTCTTCATAAGGATAACATGGGAACTTTAAAAGCCACTGGGGCAGAGCCCAAGGGACTTTTTCAAAAATGTAAGGCCAGTTTGCAAATTTACGCGACACGCTCTTTCCAATGAGACGTCAATGGATAAAATCGGTTAAGAAATGGCGGAGGAGTTCAACTGACAAAGTTTCATGTAGCGTATTAATTATATAGATAAAATTCCAAAGTTGCAACTATAAAATTGTTTCAGAACTGTACCTAACTTACCCCAGGGTGTCTACCAGATTTCTCAAATGGAATTCCCGACTTTTTCCCGACTTTTCATTACTATTTTTATATAAATCCCGACCAAAAACTCGGTCCATTCTCCATGTTACTACACCTTTTTCCGTCTCGCGGTCACTCGCGACGCAGCGAAATCACTGACGATCGAAACAAATCACATGCCGAGAAAATCCTGTATTAAATGTAGGGGTGTGTGAAGCAGCAAAACATTTCAATTCAAAGCAACTATTCGATTAAAAAAAATGTTGATGTTACTCGATTCGAAGCAACAAGGAATTTTTCTATTCATACTCTTCAGTGGAGTAAAATATCTGTTTTAAATCATACATTAGAAGAACCAGTATTTCTGGAAATATCAGTGAGCTTCTTGCCTATTTCATAATTTTTACTTGCAGCATCATGTTGTTAAGCATGTTACCTATTTTATTTTATTGTTTTTATAAATAAAGATATGTTTGGGTGTAAACAAATAAAACCCTCTGTAAGATTTAAATACTGACTCTTTCAATTGGTTTACATTGATAAAATAAGAGGATAGAATCAGAACTACAAGGTATACATAACTTCTTGTATGGCAATAACCGGTATAGCGAAACAATGTCTCAGTGTATGCCATGTACTTGGATGGCAATAACCTGTATGGCGAAGCAATGTCTCAGTGTATGCCATGTACTTGGATGGTAATAACCCGTATGGCTAAGCAATGTCTCAGTGTATGCCATGTACTTGGATGGTAATTTTAACCCGTATGGCTAAGCAATGTCTCAGTGTATGCCATGTACGTGGATGGCAATAACTTGTATGGCTAAGCAATGTCTCAGTGTATGCCATGTACGTGGATGGCAATAACTTGTATGGCTAAGCAATGTCTCAGTGTATGCCATATACGTGGATGGCAATAACCTGTATGGCTAAGCAATGTCTCAGTGTATGCCATGTACGTGGATGGCAATAACTTGTATGGCTAAGCAATGCCTCAGTGAATAACTTATATAATTAATGTCAATCATTTGAATAATGTCAATAAGTTATATGGATACTGATAGTCAAAGTAACACTATCAATGTAACAGTCAACTACGTATACGGATACTGATTCAATAACGTATGGACACTGATTCAAAAAGGTATTTGGATAATGATCCAATAACGTATAGGGATACTGATTCAAAAACGTATGGATTCTGATTAAAAAACGTATGGATACTGATTCAAAAATGTATTTGGATACTGATTCGATAACGTATATAGATACTGACTCAAAAATGTATGGATACTGATTCAAAAACGTATATGGATACTGATTCAATACCGTATATAGATACTGATTCAATAACGTATGGATACTGATTCAAAAACGTACTGATTCAAAAATGTATTTGGATACTGATTCAATAACGTATATAGATACTGACTCAAAAATGTATGGATACTGATTCAAAAACGTATATGGATACTGATTCAATACCGTATATAGATACTGATTCAATAACGTATGGATACTGATTCAAAAACGTATTTGGATACTGATTCAATAACGTATGGATACTGATTCAAAAACGTATATGGATACTGATTCAATACCGTATATAGATACTGACTCAATAACGTATGGATACTGATTCAAAAACGTTTTTGGATACTGATTCAATAACGTATGGATACTGATTCAATACCATATATAGATACTGATTCCATAATGTATGGATGCTGATTCAAAAACGTTTTTGGATACTGATTCAATAACGAATGGATACTGAATGCCCATAATTCAAATCGTTATTTTGATCATCACTGAATCAAATTGGAATTCCGATGCATTTTCGATTCATCCCACACCCCTCAAATGTAATCCCGTCCCAATGATCAGGAATATAGGATCCAGAATTTTTTTTAAAGTTTTGGGACCCGTTCATCCATAATTTTGAAAGGTTAGATTATTCCCGACTTTCGGCCGAAATTCATGACTTTTTCACGACATTTCCCGACCTTTCAAAATCCCCGACTTTTTCCCGAATTTCCCGGAATTCCCGACTGGTAGACACCCTGTAACCCAGCCTAGTACCAGGTTGGTAAGTGACGGCTTTGGCACAATTTTATGTAGAGAGAAGTTCTTTTTTATCTGGGTTTTTGTCCAAAGTTTGTGTAATGTTTATCAATTCGACAATATCTCAAGTAAGAGATGAAAGAGTAACAGTTTTAAAAACGTTTGCTGCGGCCCGCCAAATGGCAGGCTAGCCCCAGTGCGGCGCAGCGTCAAGCGAACCCGTTTGACAGACAAATATTTCGGTCTGACGAGTAGCAAATAACGCGCAGTGATGTGATGCATTACGACGAGGGTCAACGTACTTCCTTAAAACACCCACAGATAGCAGCACTGCTTGGAACGGTAGCCGGTCCCATTGTATTGACAATTGGAGGGAAAAACACACGAGAAAAAGTAGATTTCTAAGCTTGCCAGAAGTAAGTACGGCACCCGTTCTTCCCGTTGTGCTGCTGCGCAGGAATTGAATGGAATCTTGATGATGCCAGCACTCACCGGTGAGCGTTAGTAGAAAAGGACTGATGATAACATTACATCGTTGAAACCTAGGTCTCTAAAATAAACAAATCAGATTGTAAGCTTAATCTTTAAGATTTTAACAATTGTATGGTTTATGCCACTTTTATTTGGCTAATAGGTCTATAAGATTTTAGAAAAAAACCACACTGCATTAGGCTACTAACTTTTGTCATATGTATAAAAAGTTGAAACTAAGTAGGGACTAGCCTAACTTATTTTAAATCAATGAACATTAATTACAAATTACTGACAAAGAGTAAAAGTTAAGATAGGAGTATGTTTTATCTATGATAACATGCTCTGAATAAAGTGTAATGATACTAACCCTATGTTCACTCATTTTGTATCCATCCACGATTCCCCTGCTAAACTTACTGCTTTGAAAATAACAGAATGTCGAAAATCTTCAGACTCAAAAGAACGTGATGAAAGTGTTTGTGAATAAAAAAATAGTTTTAACACTTCTAGCATACGCAAATCAGCTATACTTCTCACTACCTTTTAGTTGTTAAAGTTAAAATGGTATACCTAATAACACGGAACTAGAAACTAACAAGTAAACCGCTTGACTAATTTTGTAGGTACTTGACTTCCTACATTATCTTTAGCAGAGTCGAAAAGAGGCAATTTTGTAGGTATAGCCATAGACTTTATGTTTTATCTATGGTATAGCTGTTTTCAGTGTTCAGTGTTTTGAAAATGTTGCCTATGCCTATGTCATCATTCGTCAATCGTCAATGGTAATCGTAGTCATTGTGTTGTGATAGTCAAGAAGGCGGTGACCGGCTGATGCTGATACCACTGAGCTATAACATTATAACGCTGATACACGGCTCTCCAAAGCACTTTTCCAAACTCCACCAAATCTGACAACTGCAAACAAAACTGATAGGAGTTATCATAAGCAAATATGCCATATCATTGAGATTATTAGTCATGTCATAAGAAAGAAATACTTATTTATTTATTGATTTTGTGCTGTCTGTACTAGGTGTTTGGTCTCAGTTCGCCGGATGATGTTACAGTATATAAATCAGGCCCACTTTTATAAACGGGCAGACTGGGCATATGCCCAGGGGCGCCGATGGTTGGGTGGCGCCCCCAACCACCGCCTGCACTAAAAAAAATTGGTTTTGATCGGCCTGGACTTCAAAAATAAAATGGGTGATTTTAACTTGTAGTTAAGTGATTTTCCCAGTTACTGTAAAAGTAAATAAATACAACAAAATTGAAAATACTTCTTCAGATTATGCCTTTGTGTATTCAGGGAAAGGGAGGCAGCAGTATGAACAGGACACACTCACTATTCACTTTCAAAGGTAGGGTGGTAGGCCTGTAGACTACAGCTGGTGACGTGCCCCTACCACTCTCCCTCCCACCAATCATCGCGACACCTACCCCTACAACTAACCGCGCGGCGCCCGCAATTATATCTATGGGCGCCAGTAGGTTGTCCTGTTGTGCTTGTGCCTCCTGCACAGTCGTCAAATCAACACAACCTAACCTGAGACAGTCACTAGTCAGTGTTGACATTCACACTGCAGTTAGTGAACCAGGAATAAATGAATAGAAGTGTTGATACAAGTAGGCCTATAAACAGTGAAAAAATTCATAAAAACCCTAGTGGAAGTGGAGCCGAGAACCGCAAGCGGTTGGCTCAAAGAAAACAAACTCAAGAATCAGTTTTAAAGAAAGTGAAGTGTATTAGGCCTAACCGTAGTATTTTAACTGATACTGAATTGAAAACTCTGGATATTGAGAACTTCCTGCCGAACAAAAATTGGTCAAAACATGCTAATGTATAAATAATAAATACATATATATGCATAGGCCTATCGTTCAATACGTGTGTAATGAACTGCACACTGTACTGTACTGAACAATAATCACTGCGTAGTGCATTAGCTATTGGCGCAGGGCAAGAGGCAATCGCCCGCATAGCAACTGATAAGTTCAATACCCCCCCCCCCCACAACCCACCTACTGTGGATTTTGGTGAACTGATGAGTCAACCCCCTTCCCTTTTCACCTCCCTACACCGCTGTGGTCAAAACCTTTTAGTTATATATGTATAAGGGGGGGCGCTGCTTTTGGGTTTGCCCAGGGCGCCACTGACCCTTAACGCGGCCCTGATATAAATCATGTTTTAATTTTATTAAATCATAGATTATGATACAAAAAAGGGAATAAACTTTTAATGATCAATACGATACTTTATGAGAATCTAATTCATTTAGAACATGACGTTACAAGAAATATTCTTGCGTCTTTCCTTCCTTTCTACTTTTTCCCATGTACGGTTCTTGTTTCTTGATCATGCTAGTACAGTAGTTGACTCATTCCATCGAAAATTTGAAAATGGCTCAATCACCAAGCCTCGATAATTCTTACTTTCGGCAACGCTACATAAGCACGGCCACCTTAACTCCGGAGTTAAAGGCGGTCGTGTGCATAAGTCAACTCAAGCCGAGATAAATTTCTCTGATTTCCCAAGTCAACCAGGTCCACCACAGCCTGGTCTAGGACTCTAGGATGCATACTCGGCTACCGGTACCAAAAGGAAATTCATTAATTTATATTTCCTAATTATATCTATTAATTAATCATAAGTTAAATCAATAAAATACTATTTCTATTTTTATTTGACCAGTGGTCGCTTACAAACTACTCAGTAGCATAGGTCCCTCTTACTTTAAGGCTATATAGTACAATTTACGGGCAGCTTTACAGAGTAAATCAGTCACCCACCATCCATAATAGTTGCAGAGAACTAAACTAACAAAATATGAATTAACTGATGAAATACACTAAATAATTTCCTAGCAATAAAGAATGGATATAGCAGTTAATGAATGGATGTTTAGTTTTACGACAATGCATGTTGCCGTACTTTATAGATCGGCTACAGTTAAGTTTGTAAAATGTTTTAAGCTAGATGTTTCATGTATGATTAATGCCTACCGAATACTCTAAATTCTTATCCATGTTAATAATTTGTTGCCTTCAACAAATCATAGCATAGTAACACATCCATAGAATTACTATCATATCATTTACTATCATAAAGAATTTATAATATACAGTAAATTTATATATTAACTTTTATATATTAAATTAAGCATTACGTTTTGTAGAGTTGGCCAACTCGTTTTCCATTTTAAATTAGCAATCTCTGTCGTCGTCTGCCACTACCAGCACAAAACAAACTGCTGCTTTGCTGCATCTGTCATTCATGAAGGTGTTTTGTTTTAGTTGCCAGACAAAATTAAAATACCCTGCAGCCTAATTTAATAAGTTAATTAATTATTGAAAAGAGCCTAGTTAGTATTAGAGTTTACTATGATGCATAACTTGTACCGTGTAATGAGGGAATAGGCCTAGCCTAATCTTGATTATTACCAAATTTTGGTAAGTGGAATCATTGATAGGACTTATGCTAATTTTATAATGATAGTTAAGTTAATAGTCCACTCCACTATTTAACATATAAGAACTGTAAATGAATGTCATTTGGACTGCAGGGCTCTGAGCTCATTACTGGAGTAATTTACAGCAGGGATTATAGGCCTAGAGAGGATATTATTTGGGAATGGGCAGTTTTTTTACTTTTGACAAAAATTCTAAGTCTAATTCCAATCTCTGCAACACTAATTCCTCTAGTGACATTCCTGGTCATGGGTTTAAGAAAAGCTGTAACAGTAGTTGATAACCTATATGTAAAATGCAAATACAAAGTCATCAACTGTATCCTAAGGCGGCTTCAATGAGTGGCAGGAATTTGTTTACAACTTTAGAGCGTCTGTCAATCCTCTTTACTCACTTGTTTTGCTTTGAATAGACAGACCTTCTAAAACTTAGTAGTTGTTAATGGCATAGTTTTTAGTACAACGCTTACAAAGTAATATCCAGTTTGAACCCCTATGACTAACTGAAATAAGTTAAAGGTCATGAGGCTGTTTTGCATTACCCATGTCTGCAGTTAGTTTATATGGTTAAATTAACATTTAACTTATTAGCTATTTTGGTTCAATGAGTACTACTACTTACAGTACCTGTTACAGTTTTTTATCAAGAGCTTTATTTGTCGTTAAGCTAACATAAGTATTTTAATCTCTGAATTACATTTTAATTTACCAAATACCAATAACTTTGAAATACTGTAGGTACCAATTAAGATAGAAACCCCACTTAGGTGTGCATATTAACCCAAATTTTTAAAAAATATGAAAAATAATGAAGTGAGAAGCCCTGTTACTTGACTAAGACCAGCTGTGGCTGTGCAGAGTTTTGATCCTTCTCAAAGCTAAACTACGGAATAATTTTTTTCAGGGTCAAACAGGTGACCTTTTGACTATGTTTGAGCACTTATAACCACTCACCTACCCAGCTATCTTAATTTAATGTCATCTGTTACAGAATCCAAACTGCCTAAACATGGTGTTTTTCCGACTGCTTCAGACAAAATACTCAAGGATCAACAACTACTGCCCCTGTAATAGAATTAGTTCAAACTCAAACTCAATGCATCAAGAAAGCTTTCAAAAAATGAAAAAGTTTTGGGAAAATGAGAGATTGCTTACTGCAAACTTAAAATATGAATCACTAAATGAAGAAGAAAAGATCATTCACGATCTACATCACGATGCAATAACTAAAGGTCATTTTACCTATTACGATCCAAAAACAAATGAGAGGATATTGACAAGATTAAGACACTATCTTAGAGGAAAATGCTGTGGAAATGCTTGCCGGCATGTAAGTTGTGTTTTTTAGTAGGCCTATCTTATTTAAATGTTGATATATCCTTTAAGACAACATCTTTGATGAACATAACTTTCAGACAGTAATTTTTCACTGTGATAGATAAAATATAAAAATTAATAGGTATTGCATCACCATAGGTTGTTAAATGTATAATAGGCCTACTTCATGGCTTTTAAATGGAATTAACCAAGTACTATTCTTCAACGGTATAGGTATGGCGTCTTGACTTGAGTTTTCAAGTACCGGTAGGCCTTAAACAAATGCTTTTAAAACACTTTCAACGCCAACAAATTTGTTAAAATATGAAAAATGGACTCTCTCCAACGAAGAAATTTGGTGTTAATAAGAGTCAACATGGTACATTCACATTCCTCTGTTGAAGGGGACAAGATGAAACCTGAGGTAGAACAACAAATTAAGATTCATGATAGATAGTTTTCTTTCTAACCAACTTAAATTTGAAAAAAATTAAATACACCTGAGTCCTGCTAATTTGTAAGTCCGGCTGATCCAAACTAAGGTTACCGCATTTAAAAAAACCACAGGCTTTGTTTTCTGAAATACTAGCCAGTTTTTCAGCCTGCCAGAAAACTGAGAAAACAGGAATGTAATTGAATTTTGTTTAGAACGGGAAAATGTTGAATAATCACCAATAGCGTATGGCTTTATTCATAACAGTATTCTGTTGGTTATTGTTAAAGGTCGTCTTGTAGTAATAAGAATGTGATCTCGGAAGACAATCATAGGTGTAATATTACCATGAATACTTCTTCAACCATTAAAGGCAATTACTGTGTGAATCTATCACGAGGTTGCCATGATTGTAGAAGCTGTAGATGGTCATTTATATGTCATAAAATTATGCGGTTTTAGTTTTCTGATGCAATTTTACTGCATTTCGGCTAATCCAAACAATTTGATAATTCAAACTGTGGTTAGTCTCGATTAGTTTGGATTAGCTGGACTCTAGTAAGTTTCTTTGCGGGTTTAAGCATTTACACTTACACTACTTACTTTTAATCTTCATTCACTGTTTGATATTAATATTTTCTTCTAAAATTGATGATAAATGTTTTATTTTCAGTGTGTTTATAACCATGATAATGTGATTGACGAGTACAAGCTGAAAGTTCGAAGACACAACACGTCTTTTTGGACCTATCCTGACGAAGTAAAAGAACCAGTGATTGACGAATCTTGTTACTTTGACGGCTCTAATTTGAAATCCAAAAGAAACTACCCTTCGAGTGATGTAAAATTTAATTTTAGTAAAATATAAAAGTATTTTTTGATTTATATGATTAGGGACTGTCTAGTATCAAAATGTTATGTTATATATCACTGAAGTATTTGTTATTGGAGTGTTATAGTTAAGAGAGATTGTCAGCGTTATGCTTGTTAAAATGTTATGCTCTTTAGGTTAAAACTAATAACTAATTCAATTTATCAACAAGTAATCATAGAAAACTAATTAATTGTGATGCTAGAATTTCGGACCTGGTTACTGTTTTACAAAGCTATTGCAATAAAGATTTATAATGACAACTGAAATTAACATTTAAGACCAAATAAAAATAACCGGAACAATAAACTTCAGCATTAATTTAAATTTGGAGAATCAGTAGTAGGTAACAAGAAAGGAATTAATAAGATAATCAAATTACAAAGTATACTATCTTTATTATGAATCTGGATTATTCAGATACTTGACAATATCTAAATATTACATACATTTTATAAAGTTATAATACAAAATTTACCTTTAGGTCTACACATTTGTAGAAACGTGCACTCAGTATGATCCTTTACATACTTTGGATATCCACAATAATTAAAAAGAATGCTTTAGTTATCAGATTTAGTAATTTATCTAGGTGTTGTTTTTTTTTAAACTTACATCAAGGCATTTTATATAGAGGTGTCACATGCTTTTAAAATAAAGTAAAATCCAAACCCCTCAAATGTTTATGGATATGTTTGGAATAGCCAGTAGGCCTATCTCTTGCACCTAAGTTTGAACACAGAAAACATACTACTATAACCCAGAATGCCAACTGCATGGTAAAAAGCGTTAAGTACTTTGAGAGAGCTTTGCCTGTCAATTCGTAGGCGGCGCCACCAGCGTTGCTATGCTGTGGTTGGCATTCTGGGTTATAGCAGTTTGTTTTCTGTGGTTTGAAGCACTAATTTCTGAACAGTGAACACATCCAAATAGTCGCTGATTACAAAATGTCTGCCCTGCAGGACAAATCACCACACTTTTATTAAATGCATAAGTCTTGAATCTTTTAAATCATCTCCAAACGTCATGGCAAGAGTCGATTTACTTCTCAAGTACACCATATAATATTTGTAAAATAAATTATAAAATTAAATTGGCTAGTTTGGACAATCATCTTTAATGATACTGCCTTAATGTAGACCCAATTACCATCAAGGTCTATATTGGTAGAAAGTTGATTATTTGAAAAGGAAATTTTCACTTTTCAACCTAACCTAACAACTGAAGCAATCTGATTAAGCATATTTCAGTACATTCACATTCTTTGGTAAGTTTTTTTTTACTTCTTTAGTGTCAGGTGGTACATTTTCTTCTCCTCGTCCGATATGTCACATGGAGCGCCACTGAGGGGGTCCTTGCCGTCAACTCCTTTCGGAAAAGCAATAACGTCTCGGATACTTGATGTTCCAGTCATGACTGACAATAAACGGTCCATGCCTGTAAAACAAACTCTTGTAGGATATGTTTAATATAGCATAATGGTTATTGCAGATGCACAGTGGGCTGTAACTGATCCACCAATGGTATCCAGATAAAAGGTTCAAGACACGACCTTATTTTCTAAAATTTTTCATCTTACTTTCAACTATTTGTTCAGTAATGATGTTGGGCTAGAAAGATTAATTTTAAAATAGGAAAATGAAATTGAGCTATGTTGCTGATAGAATAATAACCTGGCACAAAAACTATTGTACTATATAGCATTATTTTTCATATAAATGGCTTATAAAATTCACAATCGTGATCTCCCTTTGTGGAGACTATTTCTTGTATTTGTTCCAGTATAAGAACTGTTTTAGACATATATTTTTTTGGAAATTAACAATTTTAATTTATAATTTATTTGTTTGGATCAAGGTAGATAAGTGGCTTTACCACATGCTCCACATGGCACAACGGAATTCCTAGATTATGCACTGAATCGGGCTGTGATTTTTAATTACATCAAAGGAAACAAATGTACCATTTGATTGCGGCTTTTAAGAATAAGTTTGAAAGAACTGCTTTATACAATTAACCATCTGGACACAATTTTTCATTTGTCTAAAGACTCGAGGCCTGTGTGGGCAGGCAAATGCAAGGTTAGGAGGCTTTTAGTAGATAGAAAGCATACTTTTAGCAACAGGACTTGGTATTCCTGACGAAATAATTTTTTTTAAACTAGGGAATATGTAAACCTTGAAAGAAATGATTACCGAGTGCTATTCCGCCATGGGGAGGAGCCCCTGATCTAAGGGCCTCTAGTAAGTGTTCTAAACTGTCAGTAGGGATTTTGAGGATGTCTTGTAGCACTTTGGTCTGCAACTCTGCGTCATGGATACGAATTGAACCTCCACCGACCTCGTAGCCATTCAACACCAGGTCAAAATGGAGACCTCGCACCTGTAACGAAAAGGCTAAATATTTGTGATTTGAACTTGCAATATGTAAAATAAGTGTCTTTGATAGTATTTTCCTTTTCATTTCTGAACGATAATCATAATATAGAGCTATTCAAAAATATTGACCCGATTTCATGACTTTGTATCCCAAAAAGTGTAAATCGGGTAAGTCATTAACGTTACACCAATAAAAAGAGGAAATTTCAAAGTTTTTTTTTACTATAGTATGGCTGAAAAGTTATCACAACAATGTGCAGCCATTTTGTTTTACCATCAGTTGTTAGTAAGAAAATGATATTGGGCAAATTTAATATTTTAATTTTACTTTTGAAGCTGCAATGTAAAAATTAAAATTGAATGCACTAACATTGTCAAATTTTCGAAGCAGCTGGGACTGTCTGGGAGAAAAAAAATAGTTTGATTTTTTTCAGACCCGTCCCTCCCTCCCAGCACTACAAAAGGCCCCCGTGTAGGAGAAGAGACGACTCCACAGGGGTTTGTTTTGTCAGACCTACACTGACTGTCAACATATACTAACCAACTCAAGTAGACTTCTCATCCCATTGTACATTTTGAAGCTTGTTTATTGTGTCTAGTTCATGTCCGATGACACTGATTACTAGTGTCAAAATTTTGTTTCTGTTATTTTAGAGTTAATATCAAGATTTGTGCTTTACTGTTTGGTTATATTGTTTTAGTTAGAACTATTAAATTCTGTTTAATTTATGCCGCGGCAAGTCCGCTTCCAATATAGAACCTGCCTAAGACAACTTACTCATACGGAAATACTGTTTATTTTAACGACTGACAAAGCAACAGATAAGATATTTTTACTCAAAATAAATTACAAACCTTTAAGGGATCTGAGTCTAAAAGGTGCTTGTCACTTTCAAAAGGCGCAGTGAAAGGATGATGAGCTGCTTCTAGTGACCCGTCGTCTCCCTCCAGAAATAGGGGAAAGTCCACAATCCAGGCAAAGTGGAAATCTGTCGTTGGGTTACTGAAGACATCCTGCCTTAGCTTACCCATCAGAGGGAGCTGTAAAAACATTCACTATTTCTGGTTACTGAATCAAAACAAATTAAACGTAGCTGAATGAGCCACTCCTAGAGTACGTTACTGTCTAAATTCTGTTTTCTCCCTTAGTTTTCGTAACTGAGATACAGTAGTTGATGTGACATTAAAATGCTATAGCTAACAATAAAACATTGCAACAGGTGGCATTTTCAACAAAAATCTGTAATTTGCATAAGCACTGTCAAAGGCTCTAATCAAGTACGTCCGTTTTTTTATTCTAAAAATGACAACAACTTTAACATTGGGGATGCTTTGTCTATCTCTATCAATAGCCAATGATTGAACATAATTAATCATTAATCACTGTCATAAATCAGCTATGACAAGTTTATTTTATGTTTGTTTATTTAGAGTAACACTTGAGCACACCAATGTCTTCCATTTATTTCACGATAGTTAAAAAAAAAAAACGTTTGTCTTCAGGTATTACTTATAGGGAAAACTAAAATCCACCGAAAAATGACGCAAAGTGTTGAGAAAAAGTGCATGGACATAAAAACTATGCATGTGATGTGTGGAGTTTGTAGAAGGCTGGCTTTGAGCGTCTATTAACGAGTATATTAGAGAGAGATTGTTGAACTGATAGTACATCTCCTAAAACTATCGCAACAGTGAGGTAAGGTACCTCGAATACTCTGAAAATTTTCTAAACCCTTGACACTCAAACAGAGAGTCAGCTAGGGAGATAGCAAAAAGTTTTAATGAATTTGCTGCTAAAAATAAACATACCAACATTGTTTATGTCACTCAACCACATAGACATGATCTTCCATGGAACGACCTAATTAATCGTGAAATCTATAAGGTCAATATGGAGTTGAAACATTCAAACTTAAACTTGATTGACATTAGTGACTTTAAGCGACCTTTATTTACTGGGCACGGCCATCACTTGAACAAGTTTGGCAAACGTGTTCTATGTAGAAGAATAGCAGACCTAGTCCTTAAAGAAATTAGAACTACCACGAAAACTCTGTCTACACTTTCTCCTAAAAATGTCACAATCTAAGTAGCTGAAATGGATGATGTCATCACTGAGAATTGTAACAGATCCGATGTCGCTTTCGCTCACTGCATCTCCGCTGATTTCCAATCTCCTAAACACATGAGTGAAGGAGTGGCTGTAGTTTTTGCAAAGAGATTTGGTAAACCCACGGTAACTGACTACTGCGATAGGAATTTAACACGTCAGAATTCTTCCAATGGCGTTGCTGTGTATGGACTGGTCACTAAACCAAAATATTTCTTAAATGCCAACAACCATCTAAACTACAGAGAAACATATAACTCAGTTTTTAAACAATTGGCTGCTGATTTTAAAACAAACAAATTTAAGACATTGATCTGCTCGCCGCTAGGCTGTGTACGTGATTGCATCAGTCCATCTCACTTTATAGATAACTTATTCGATTTCATCAATGACACTGGTGCATCTGTGATTGTTGTGACAGCGGATGATACTTCAAGGCAAAGATTGAGACGGGGAATTCCACATACCACTTTTGTAAAAAAGCTGCATAATTTAATTGGTGCACAGTACCCTACACAACTTTCTCCAAATTACACTGCACTTCCAAGATCAGAGCCAACATCATCACCACCACCAACGGACACATTACCATCACCAACAGACATGACTTCAATACCTGAGATAAACAGTAAACCTACTCTGCAACATGTTCAGCCCAACCTCACACTGTTGGATGAAAATACCATTGACATCAGTAGTAGTTCCTTGACATCTGAATGCCATACACCTGCAGCGGCAGTGATCAGTGATGTGTGGGGGGGGGGGGGGGTCAAAG